ACATCATAGCCACTACCACTCAATACATCATACTTACCATCACCCAATACATCATACTTACAAAACCGATCTTCAATTCGTCACCTGATGTACGGGTCTAGGTGTGATCTCGTGACAAATGTATGGCCCGTGACTTCGTTCACGGCATTCCATTTGATCTTTTTTAAGCTATGGCTAAAAGTTTAAAATCTGAATAAATTAACCAATATGTAGAATTAAACCTATTTGATAAATATTATTTCTGGATTTTCATTAGATAATCATGCAGTGCAACAGGCGGACATTGTGTAATCATGAATAAGATGCAAACATATTGTAGTCGCTAGGAATGACCTGTTTTAAAACAGGTTTTTTACGTTGAAGTAATTACGACTTCTAATCATGAGATTACAACGCGTAGTTGATGACTATTAAATTGAAATTATAATATAGAAATTGTAAGTAGTCAAAATACATTCAGTTTAAAGATTGTACTCACTGAGAAAATTTTTAAGAGGCAGTAATTAAATATCAAGATTATCTAACTAAATTATCATTTGTTTTGGTCAGCCACATAATAATTACATTATAAAGACTAATGATTTTTTTTAAGTAAAAATTTCGGTATAATGTACCTTGTTTTAGCCACTAAGCTTGTAATAAATTTGAGACAAAATTTTTATTTGCTATAAACGGTTATTATAGCAAGAGCTTATTCTTTAAACAAGTATCCATGTAGTTCATAAAGAGAATTAACTACTAAAAGATTTGCATTTATCATAATGGTTTTCCATTATATCATCAAGTTAAAATAAGTAATCATAACGATAACTTTATTCAACGCGTATGTACTAAAACGAGAATATCATTTAGCAGATGGGTTTGCTTGTGCAACATATCATTTCTAAAATACTTTGATGTCATAAGATAATCTAGAATAAGCATTGTACAACGGTTTAATTAAGAAGCATTGCGCAACATTTTTGTCAAGAAAAGACTTCGAAAGTATACATTTCCTTTCTTGAAAAATCATTTGCGAAAAACGCGTATTGCCATATCATCAAAGTTGGAATTTGTCTTTGCAATTTTATATAAATATCTACATGGTCATATATCATGGTCCAATATTTCGTCGATTTTTTTTTTTTTAAAAAAAAATAATAATATAATTGCTTAATTCATATTATTCATATTCAAAAATTAATGATGGTTTATCGCATTTATAAAGTATTCATGTTGAAAATTTTTTTTAGTATCATTGGAATAGTTGCAGTTATCTACCCCAATGAAGTTGCAAATGAACGTGGTGACATAAAAATTTTACAAAAACGAGAATATAGAACATTGGTTACAAAATTTGTTACTACAAGCTCATATACTACACATTTTAAAGTTACATCATGTTCGAATTTACCAAAAGAACCAAAAAAATGTTGTAACGATAAGTACTGGTGTGAAGATGCTTCTTACAAAGAACCATGTTGTTACTAAAAACAAATATCATTTTGCGACAAGAAACCACCAACAAAAGAACCACCATCAAAAGAACCACCAACAAAAGAACCACCAACAAAAGAACCACCAAAAGAACCACCAAAAGAACCATGTTGT